GCAATAGTTGCAACGATGGGTTCAAGCATAGCAAGAATTGTGAGGATGGTGTACGACCGGGCAGTGTTTTGTTCTGTTATACCTGGGGTCACTATAAGTCAGAGCTGACTCAATGGCACCTAACAACAACAACAACAAGACTATCATGGTGAAAAGAGATTAATATTAATAGAAGTCATTGTTCTCAGCCCTATGCTTCATTGGTTTAATGAATTTTGAGGAAAACAGGAATGACTCAAGCGTGTTAAGGATCAGTGATTTCACATTTATAAAGCATAAAGTTTACTAATGGGTTTTGCAGGTAAAAGATTCTACACAAATACAAAACCATCATTATCAGTGGTAACATATCCAAATATCTTGCCAACATATTTGTGATTCAGACTATTAAATTTCATATTAAAATATGCTAAAAAGATAGTCATTGAAAAGAAGTGCTAAACAGACAATGCTTGAAAAGCAGTGAGTTTATTTAAGAAATTTCACACAACCACCACCACACTTTAAAGCAGTTTTTTCAACGGAGAAAGACAAAGTCAGGATGTAATGACAGCTTAGTAGTAGTAGTCAAAATTTAATTGAGGGCTGAGCCTCTGTTGTTGTTGTTGTTATGTGCCGTCGAGTCAGCCCTGACTCATAGTGACCCCTCCTTGGGTTTCCGAGGCAGTATCACTACGGAAGTAGGATTGCCCAACCTTCCTTCCGAGGAGTGGCTGGTGGGTTTGAACCGCCAGCCTTCTGGTTAGCAGTCAAATGTCTTAGTCACTATGCTACCAGAGCTCTATTAGGCACTTTTTACCTGCATTTAGTACATTTGTAATTCAGTTCTCATTAAAACTCACTGTGTTGAAAACCCACTGCCACTGAGTCGATTCCAACTCATAGAGACCCTATAGGACTGAGTAGAAATGCCCCATACGGTTTCCAAAGCTGTAAATCTTTATGAAAGCCAACTGCCTCATCTTTCTCCCATGGAGCAGCTAATGGGTTTGAACTGCCAACCTTTTGGTTAACAATCAAATGCTTTAACTACAAGTACTGTTTTATTTCCATTTTATTGATAAGGAATCAACAAACCAAGCATTGTACAGAATGTAGTGGTGGATTAAAAATAAAACGAAATAAAATAAACTCATTGCCATCGAGTTGTTTCCAACTCATAGTGACCCCCATTGAGTTTCGAAGGCTGTGAATCTTTCTGGAAGTAGATCACCCACAGAGCAGCTGGTGGGTTTGAACTACTGACATTCTGCTTGGCAGTCAAGTGCCTTATCCACTATGCCATCAGACACAAAGAGAATAAATGTATCTAAATGTAGGGAGATCAGAGTGTTAACCTCCTATAGCCCTGTAAGAAAATGCTGAAAACTCTTTAGTCAACACAGAAGACAATAAAGCTTACAAAATTGAAATAAAGAGGAAAGAGAGTATAACAAAAAGCATATTTACAGACTCAAATAGACTGCCAGCTTGGCTGAAGGAACTCTAAAACGACAAGCTACGTTTGTTTTGTTTATTTTTCTGAAATTTCTGTTGCCTTGTATGCTGTCAAAGCTTTTAAATCTCTGCAGTCTCGGTGCACTGTGGAAAGGGTTGGCTGTGGGCATCTTCCTTCCAAGTGAAGTCTGCTGCAGAAACCTGGCACATTGTCTGCACGTGTACTATGCTGTCACCACATTATGCATAAGTAAAATAAACAGACAAACAAACAGATGATAGTAAAGATGGCAATGTTTTTGGAGCAACAGCAATATGCTATAATTTGACTGGACAGAATGGAATTTACCATTGATCTCGTTTACCCTTTTAAAGTTAAATTCTGTCCTTTATTTTTTTTTACATTCCTTCAACAAGAAAAGGGCTAAAATAGAGGTCATTACTCTATTAGCACTTAAACGGGGACCCAAACCAAAACCCTGCTGCCATCGAATCGATTCCAACCCACAGAGACCATGCAGGACAGAGTAAAACTACTCCACAGAGTTTCCCATAGGAGCACACTGCCATCTTTTTTTCTCCCACAGAGCAGCTTGTTAGCAGTCAAGTGCTTTATCTACTACAAAATCAGAGCTTCTGCAATTGACTCACCCTTAGTAAATCTAAAGTAATCAATGTAATATTCATTCACCGACTACTCTGAAATGATACTATGTAGCAAACCACTATGCTGGGTGTGATGGTTAATTTTATGCATCAACTTGGCTAGACTATGGTGCCCAGTTGTCTGGTCAAACACAAGTCTAGATGTTGCTATGAAGGTATTTTGATTTGGTTAAGATTTACAATTAGTTAGCTTTAAGTAACAAGGAGGGGTCGCTATGAGTTGGGTCCGACCAAAGCTTTAAGTAAACCAGAGTAGCCTCCATAATATGGGTAGGCCTTAGCCTTTAGCAAAAACTGAGATTTCCAGAAGAAAGAAGGAGTTCTGCCTCAAGACTGTAGCAATGGATATCCTGCTGGAGTTCCCAGCCTGCCACCTGCCCTACAGATTTCAGGCTTGCCAGGCCCCGCAATAGTATGAGCCAAATCCTTAAAGTAACTATGTCTCTTTCTCTATATATACATATGGTCTCTGGTTGGCACAAGCTGTTTGTGATAAGCTACTAACCTAAAGGGTGGTGGTTCAAACCCACCCAGCACTACAGAAGAAAGGGCTAGCAAACTGTTTCCATAAAGATTACAGCCATGAAAATCTCTACGGAGCAGTTCTAGTCTGCACACATGCGGTCGCTCTGAGTTGGAATCACTCAAAGGCTGAATGGGTTTATGTTTATATATGTAGTTAGTTCTGTCTCACTGGAGAATCCTGACTAATAAATACACTGAATAAGGGGGATGGTGATGAACAGTCCATTAGGGCCCTTAAAGTGCCCATCAGAGGTTGGGAGAATTGTAGAAAGTAAAAAATGAAGTAAGTACCCCTTTTCTTCTATGAAAGGAGCTCTGGTGGTACAGTGGTTAAGGCATTCAACTGCTAATCAAAAGGTGAGCAGTTCAAACCCACCAGTTGCTTTGTGGGGGAAAGATGAGGCAGTCTGCTTCTGTAAAGATTTCAGCCTTCGAAACCCTGGGGGCAGTTCTCCTGTCTTACAGGGTTGCTATGAGCTGGAATTGGCTCAGTGGCAGTGTTTATTTATTTATTTTTCCTTCTATAAGACAGCTATCCAGTGATATATTGGAAGCCATTTATAATCATTTTGAAATCTTCTTGTATATCCTTCATCATAAGAAAAATATTTCAACAAAAATATGATGAATTGTGTTGTCACAAAATGTCTCCAACAATAAGGAGAAATCGGCAAGTCTCAAGGCATTGAATGCCCCTGGACCCTAAGTTGTTGTGTGCTGTCTAGTCAATTCTGACTCAAAGACACCCTCAATGACAGGAAGACCCATAGTGTTTCTTAGGCTGTAATCTTTAAGGAAGCAGACTGCCTCATCTTTCTCCCATAGAGTGGCTGGTAGGTTTGAACCGCCAAACTTTTGGTTAGCAGCCAAAGTCTTTGACTACTGCTCCATCAGATCTCCAAATTGTATCTAGACGCTGAATTCCAGTGTCATAGCCTGAAGGGACCTCAGATTCGGTGTCCCCTCGGGTTTACCCGCCCTCCGCACCCGCTTCATTTTTCAGAGGAAGAAACTGGTGCCCAGAAAAGTTGAGAGGGCGCTTTGATTCTCAAACTTTTTAGCTGATTTGCCGAGTGATTCTGCTCCTCCTTTTTCTCCGGTAGGAACCAAAACCAAACCCAACCCACTGCCATCCAGTGATTCCGACCCATAGCGACCCCTTCTTGATTTTCTGAGGTGGTATCTCTATGGAAGTAGTTTGCCCAGTCTTTCTTCTGAGGAGTGGCTGGTGGGTTTGAACCACCAACCTTCCGGTTAGCAGTCAAATGCCTTGGGCAATACACCAGCAGAGCTCCTTCTCCGGTAGGAAAACCATCTAGAAAATGACATATTATAGACCTTGGGGGTTGTTTTTGTTCCCTTTGGTCAAATTTGCATACCTTGTAAGTAGAAGGTGTGGAGGCAACAGAGGATGAATGGTTAAGAGAACTCTTGCAAAGGCGGCGGGAACAGAGCCGCTCTGGTTTCAGAGACCTGGCAATCAATCCCATCTGTCTTTAATTGATCAAATGTGAGGAATTTACCGCCTTTTGCTTCGCTCCGCCCAGCTCTTTAGGGAGGAATGGGCGGATGGGCGGAAAAATACAAATCCCAGCATGTAGATCTCCTTTCTATCACCCCGGTAGAGCGGTCCCTTGTCTGGTGCATTATGGGAAATGTAGTTTCTTGTCAACAACGACCAAAAACCCCCAAAGCCATGGACCCGACTCCTACTCCCAGAGACCTTCTGTTGTTGTTGTTACGTGCCAACGAGTCGGCCCCAACTCATAGTGAGCCCTCCTTGGGTTTCTGAGGCGGGTTTCACTACGAAAGTAGATTGCCCAACCTTCCTTCCGAGCAGTGGCTGGTGGGTTTGAACCGCCAGCCTTCTGGTTAAGTCAAGTGCCTTAGGCACTATGTTACCAGAGCTCCTAGCTTCTACGGCAGAGTAAATTAGCTCATATGGCTTCAGACTGCCTCCTTTTTGTTCCGTGGAGTTGCTTGTGGATTCGAACTGCCAACCTTTGCGTTAGTAGCCGAGCTCTTAAGTACTGCACCACCAGGACTCCTTTCAGTAATTATGCTGTGTAGAAAACCAGGGCTCTTAACTTGAGGACCAGCCACTCCTCGGAAGGAAGGTTGGGCAATCTACTTCCCTAGTGATACTGCCTCGGAAACCCAAGGAGGGGTCGCTGTGAGTCGGACCGACTCCCCTGCAGTGAGTTTGGTTTGGTAAAGAGAAGAAATCCTCCCGTCCATTGACCCCGCCCTCTCCATTGACCCCGCCCCAGGTTGCTTAGGAGATGAGTAGACACGGAATCTCGGTCCGGGTTGGCGCCTGGAGGCAAGCAGGTACAGAAGGAAATCCTCTGAAGTCTTTACCTCGGGCGGCCATGGACAGCACCTATGGAGACTGGTGCAGCAGTAAGCAATACTGGTTTGAGATCGGACCCATGGACTTGCTGGAGCGCAAGGGCTCCCTGACCCTCCGTTCCCATCACAAGAAATATTCGAAGCCGGTGTTGGTGTATTCCTGGTGAGCCAGCTCCCCGCAGTTCCCAGGTGCTGGGGCTGGGGGAGGAGAGGGAATAGTGGGTTGTGGAGAGGATGAAGAGCAATAGAGGGGGGACAAGAGCGGGGCATAAGAAGAAGAGAAAGCGGGGGAGAAAAGGAGAGAAAGAAAGAAAAAGAGAAGAGGTGGGTGAGAAAGAAGAGAATGAGACAGGAGAGCGAACAGGGAAAAGAGAGAGGGAAAAGGAAGGGCAACAGACCTGGGAAAGAGAGGAGAAAATGGGAATGCGAGATGGGGCAGCTAAGAGGAGGAGACAGGTGATCTCTCCAGGAGCACACGCTGAGGCCCACTGCAGCCAACTCCCAGGCCACCTCAGGCCATAGATCACAAAGCCGCAGAAGGACTGGGGGTCTTTCCAAAGGCCTGGAAATCACATTTAGGAGAAAAGTATTCATCATAAATCGGGACCGGGACCCAGCAGGAGGCCT